TCAACACTATATAGTTCTTTTAACAGATTTTTAATATGTAAACATCTTCACCTTGCAACCTTCCCCAGAACTCCTAAAATGATTAATGGTTTTAATATGAAAGAGAAAATTATACTTCTTAAAAATATAAACAGTAGTTTAGAATTCTTGTCATATACTGTACATTACCAAGCTGAAAGGGACTTCAGACACTCCACTAAGTCTTGGGTAAACTCAGGCCTTGACTTGTGTGCACGTCTAACCTACACTACCTTGACAGGTGAGGAGTCATACTGCCCAGGTCCTGGTATCCTCTCAGTGGAACTGAATATTGACTGTCTGTCGGACAAGGACAAGAATGGAGCATAACCACCTGCAAATAACAAAAAGATACAAAAGTAAAGTATTCAAGATGGTCATATAACAGATAATATATTGTATGATTAGACTGGGTAAGATGTTATATTTTATGTTTATGTATAAGAACTATGGGGAATAGAAAAAAAACAAGGGGAACATGAAATTTAAAACAGGCCTATCACTATAAACTTTTCATGTTTTTCCTAATAAATGAATAGCTTACTTAAATTCTGACTCAGTCACTGACTGTAGAACATCGTTTTCCAGCTAGCATTAGCATTACACGTAAGGTTAACTAGGTTTACTTTAATAATAGGTCTAAACATTTGTTCTTCTCAGGAGAAAATAAGAAAACTGATGGATTTCTCGACTTAAAACAAACTCCAGAGGCCGCCTACAATTTTTCATCCCAGTCTTGACTGAATCAGATTCCTACCTGATAATTTATAATTGCCCTGAGTGACATCGTACGATCCGGGACCAACAACAGATGAAGTGCCACTTGTTGACATGAAGGTCACTCTTGGAGCTCGTCCGTACATTTTTAACTTATTCTGTCTAAAACATATGCTAATGGTAATCTAAATAAGCTTAATTTGTAATGTTACAGACATCCACTAAAGTCTGCACAAAATTAAAGTATAGTCCTTGTTTTATTACACGTTGTTGTGCTCAAAGGTTAAAACATTGCTTCACTGCTCTCCTTTCTGTACCGTCTCTTGTCTGCACTCCATGTTACTTTGCGTGCGTCGTTGCTTGGAGACCACTTATCATTACACACCTCAGTTACACAGCAACCGGAGTCAGAACACACATGAAGAAAGAAGACAATGTAAGACTGGGCCAATTAGTGTTGTTTTTGTTGAAAAAAAAAAAAACAACTGTTCCCATGTGGTCTTAATAATGAGCCACTCTTGTCACCACTCTAGTTATCACTAGAGTAGCAGTGAACTGCATCTTTATTTAAACTTTGTCATGTCTCATAAGCAGGAGATTTGGTCTGCACGCTGGTGTTTGATAGGATTTAGCAAAACAATATTATTAATTCCAGGCAGTCAGTAACACAGAAACAATAGCAGCAAAGATATACAGCAGAGACAGGCATTGTTCTGAAAGACATGATTAGGCCTCCTGTTGGTAAGGAGACAACTCAACACTGAAACTAAAATGTCATTGTAACATCAGTGTACTCTTCTGTCAAAACAAATGACTTGTCCTGAGTCAGTCTTCCATATGCTTAAAGTGATATCTTACTTGCAAGATTTTGCATTTCTATAGACATTTGTATTTCAATGTAAACTGTTAACCAATAACTGTGCAGTACTTCAAACAGGCCTTCCACTGAAAATCCATGCAGAAGTTGGCATACCCTAGTCCACATATAATCTGCCTTTCTCCAGGAATTTTTTTTTTTTTTTTTTTTTTTACTGTATGTACAAATGTCTGCATTTCATTACATTTCCATTTGAATTGGCTCTGGGGCTGCAGAAATCTCGGACAACAGTGAGGCTACTTCACCAGTGGAGGGCAGCAGCAAGTTTCAGTTGAGCCTAACCTACCTAAAATTCACATGAAGATAAATGGTGCATTAAATATAATGGGAAATGTCGGAACAAAGGCAAGGTGTTTGAAAAAATAAAACACAAATGTAATTGAAATCCAATTTTCACAAACAAATGCTATTGTCATGGACCCTAGCCTATAAACACAACTTTTCCCCACACAAATGTTACATCTGGAACAACCAATATATAACTCATAAGAGTAAATCTCTATTTCTTTATAATTGGTTTGAAAATAATATCCTGTTGGTGAAACAGCTTTTAAATGACCAGGGTGTTCCTTTGACATTTGAAGAACTGAAAAATCGATTTAACTTTAGTCCTACACTAAAGGAATACTCATTGACTATTGGAGCGATTCCCTCTGGACTGCTGATGCTCTTCAAGAACCTGGACAATGATACGGATGACTCCTCTTTTCTATTGGATCCAGCCGACACGTTCATAGGGAAAACATGCTTCACCACTATAAGAAAGAAGAACAATCGAGCTATTCG